CAAACATACACCTTTAACAATCTTTTCCGAATTTCTAAATTAACCGTTCGCGAGCATAGAACTGACTTATTTTTCTTGAAGACGACTCAACCCTGCGCTATCCTCTGCTTTATATCCCTACTGCTCCTTCCATCCTGACTTATCTGACTTCCTAGATACCTAAAATCAGCCACTTCTAATATACCAATATTTTTGTTTTATTTTTGCTTTAGCATGTTACTAAACCATATTTTTTTTTTATCTAAACTGTAATGGTTTAGGAGCATCGTTTGTCAAATAACAAAAGGTTAATTTATCTAAGGTCGTTGAATTTGCTATTAATAAAAGCGGAACCGCGACCAGTATTTCTAAATAATTGCTTGGCAATGTGTCAAAATGTTCATGTTTAGATAGAGTGAGAGCGCGGCCGTTTTGCCCAAAAACTACGCACTATTTAAAACGAATTTTAATGAAGCATGCATGCGCGAATTTCGAAACGGACAACGAGACTATCAATATCGCAGATAAATTCACGAAATAGCACTAAATATCCCGCAAAATGTATTTACGTACACGTAGGGTCCATTAAACCATTTCGGTACTACACTAGTATCACATTTCGTTGATACAGTTCGATTATACTAGGATTAAATGAATTGACAGGAATCAGGCAATGGAACAGTAGTTTTTCTTTTTGTAGTTGTAATAAAAATATTATTACTACATTAATTCTTACCAGCAAGGGTAATTGTTCAAAATTGGGGCTCAATTATNACAACCCAACATACAGCAAATATTACAACTCTAGTAATGTAGTTGTAAATAAAGTTCGAAAATGTTTTTTCTCACGAAAATAACTACTCAGTATTAGATTACAACTAACCACAGAATATTACGTACAAATAATTAATTATTTAGGATTTATTAAAAATATATTCTTATAAAATTTGGTTAAAAACCCATACACATTCTTATTTTGAGCTGCTAAAAAGTATTTAGTTACTAATAACGGGTATGAAGTTAATATTTACTATAAACTATCGTTTTAATTCCATAAATAGGACATTGATGAAGATGTACAAACATTATCAGAAATTAATAAAAAATTCATTGAAAATTTTGGTGGATGCGCCGGGACAATTTGAAACAAATGTTATCGAAGTTCTCTTCAATAAAGATTAATAAGTAATTATTCTTATCTTTATACAAACGAATAATGATAATTCCTGTACAACTTTGAGGATACGTGAGTGTCATATTAGTGTCCATGTAGAGGAACGTCTCTGCTAATAGACAATCATTAAGAGTATTCGTTGTCCAGAACTCGAAGTCTTGGTAAACTTCCATTTTGAAGCCTTCCCCAAGTCTACTTCGTAACACACTTTATGTTTCTCTCTGGCACCTGACGAAATTCGGATACTAATTTTAAATGTTTTATGAGTTCCTATGTCTTTCAACTTTGCCTTTAATAATTAAAAGCCAAACAGCTTGAAACGTTGACGTTATAGCGCCGTACTAATCTAAGTAATTACTCAGTAAGCAACTTAAGTTAATGAGAGATAATAAAAATGAAGTGTAAGTGAAGAGATTAGGTGTTAAAATTGTGAAATGTCATCCATCCTACGTATACTGACTTGTATTTATTTGTTGAGATGAAAGCCATGATGGCACACACAATAACAAACAAAAATCGAGAGGTATTTGATTACCGCAATTAACAACTTAAAGTTGTCAAACTGTTACAAGAATATATGTAAGTTGTGGTGTTTGGTAATTTTTTTGTTCTGGGCTACATTTCGTAAATTTGTCTTTATTAGAATAAGATACTGTGCTATCTTAATACATGACCCTTTCTATTAGCATTGAAGGTAAATAATAAAATAATTTAGTAGCAGATCACTGTTTATAATTAGTTTTCATAATTTGCTAAATGTAATAAATTGAAATGGAAAGCAGAATACAGGCCATAACGAGCCTGCGATGACAATTCTCGCTGCTGAACTCTAAAGTTTTCAACGGGTTTATCTAGTGCTGTACTAGGATGTTACTTATCACCATAAGGTCGTTAGTCCTAAGACTGGTTGGACACGCACCTCCACGCCTTCCTATCCTGAGCTAATCTTCGCATTTCCCTAAAACTAGAACAATCCATATCTTTAACTATTTGCGAACAGTAATCTAGTCTAGGTCTACCTCTACCCCTCCTAACTTTTCTGCCTCTAATATGTCTCTGATTAGACCTTCATGACTGAGAAGGTGTCCTACTAACCTATCTCGACTATTTCTTATTAACTTTCATAGAGTCCTCTGTTCTCCTATTCTTTCTAATACCTCTTCATTTCTAACCTTCTCTATCCACGGTATCCTCATCATTCGCCTGTAACACCACATTTCGAACGCTTCTAACCTTTTCTTTTCCGCCGCGCCCAC